ATGTGTGACACGGGTTTAAGTTGAATGCCATTGCCTTGTTAAGGCAAGGACGCGAAGCAACAGAGGTGCGAGCTTCCACATAAATTTACAATGTTTCCCTGAAAAGGTCGTGGCTTGGTTTTTCAAGGACGTGATTTTGTGTAGGATAAACGACTTACCCTTGCGCGGGAGGCTACGCCAGACCATGACCCTGCGTTCGCGGTGTAACACATAAAAACCGCCATGAATATGACATTATAATCTCGCCGTGTGTTCGTTACTCCGTGAAGGGGGTATCCCTCCTGCAGGAGTATTGTGGTCAGATAGTTTTACATGTTCGCAGGTAAAACTCACGGTTGCCTTTGTTTCATTGGCATATAATTTAATACGTCGTCTGCAGGCATGCTCGTGATGATGCCCATATTTTTTATTTTTACCGTAGCTGTTTTTGTGATTAATGTATATTTCCGAAGCACCCCTACATTTGACAGACTTTTGGAACTGGCCGTACATAAACTGTTGTTAATGCAAACGCTGATTTCCTAAGCCGCAACAGTAATAGCCCGATCGGGATGGACTCCGACATTTCAACAAATATTGCATTGATGTAAACGTGTGGGTGAGTGTGAATGCGTTGACACATGAGGGAATATATTCACCACCATGCTGACTCATCTTCAATCTAGCTCGATGTCAGTAGTCCACCTAGAGGCACGGACGGGGATGGTGGGATGCGTCACGGTCTTCAAGGTCAACGGTAACCCTATTGACCTTCGGCAGTACGTCGGTGACCCTCGGCTTCGGGATAGCAGGTATGGATCAGCCCACGGTTTAGCCGCGGGGACACCGATATGAGATGATCAGTAAAGACAAGCTATAGAATATCGGTGAGATGATTTTGTCTTAGCGTCCAACAAAACGTTGTCTAGTACAATGCAACACAAAGGATACACAGGAATCAAATGTTCAACGACAACTGTCGCCATCATCAGGATAATTAATGACCAATCACTTAAGAACGTAAACCCATCAAGTTACGATTGTAGGCACGTGGGAACCCCAAAACTGATGCGAGCGTGCAAATAGAAGTTTGGCAAAAAAAGTTGCCTTCATTATGAAATCTACGTCGTCATGAAGGTTGAACAAATGACTAAACACACAGAGTATGGTGTGGCGAATAATAGACTCTTCATTTTCATTACTTCACATTTTCTTCTTATGCTTTGGGATTGATTTTGGCATTTTATTTGCATTCTATTGGCAACAACATTAGTATCGTTTTCCAGTATATTTTTTGCAATTTGCGGCATATATTTAATCATTTTGCATCTGCTTTTTACGATTTACAGTATATGGTCGATTTTTGTTGTTGTTGTTGTTGTTGTTGTTTTAACGGACGAAAATTCATGCGCGCGCAGATGTCATCCATATCATCATATCAATATGGCCTTAGGCTTGACTAAAAGTTCCTCATATCCTCCTGTACAGTCCCGGGGTTCAGACCGGATGCCGCCACTCCTGTGACCCGAACCCCTGTCTGTACGGCGGCACGTGTGTGGACAACTGGGAAGAGTACACATGCGCATGCGCAGACCCTACGGCACAGAGCGGACAACATTGCGAAAACAGTAGGTGGAAACCAGTGTCTACGGTAGACCTGTTTTCAAAATAAAAGTAATTATGTTAACCGAGGGAAAACATGTTGTTTTTGCTCAGTTTCTTCCTCTTCTTCTCCAAACAGTGACCCCTGACCTGCTAATTTGTTGACGTCTGTCACCATGGCAATAGGTGTTGGGTTACATAATGTTGCAATTTCATAGTAGGCATGTAGACTCCTGTTACCATATACAAGTATGTAAATGTGTTTGAGTAAGAATTAACAGAGCAGACAATGTCCGAAGGTAAACATTATGCATTAGCTTTGCAAATGTTACTTTTCTAGTTATGTTTAAACATATTGTTTTTGCTCTGTTTCTTCTTCTTTTTTTCAAACTGTCAAATTATAGTCAATGACCTGGAGCAGACGACTGTCACCATGGTAACAGGTGCTGTAGCGGACACCTTGTTTTGGGTTACATTATGTAGCAGGGCAGAGCTGGAGAGGGGCTGGTCACCATATATTATTTCTGAGTGTAGGAATAAACAGAGCAGTTATTTGCTAGGCCATATGAAGGTAAACATGCATTTGCATTGAAAAATAAAATGTTACCTTTCTAGTTCAGTCCTAATTAGGCTTACCAATCATGATCATCAAGACACAATAAAGCGTCATCTAACTTATTCTTTGCCTTTAACTTTTAAGACATCAACTTGGACTCTGCGACCTTCTTGATGGAAAATGCGTTCCTCCTTTTTGAAGAAAGTCAAAACTCGGTCCTGTATTCGGGCCTCCGATACGGCTTCCGAACATTCGCGCCCGACGCCGTCCTCATGTATGCACACGACCACTTCAACAACTTCGTGCAGTTGGAGGTGAGAGGTGGAGACACACTGACAGTCAGCTTCAACTCGCTAAATGAGATCAAAGAGGTCACTGTCAAGGTCGCAGGTACGTTAACACTGTACACAATTATCACGCGTCTGTAACTACATGAGCAACATACAAGTTTCCCTCAATCCTAACTTATGCTCAGGTCATATTTCCAAACCGGGGCCCGGCCGGGCTGTTCGATTAACGAAAAATCAACAATTGATATCAATAATATATGCAAATAGTTCCCATTATCTTTTTGTTCATACTTTTCGTTCCATAAGACTGCCCGGCTGGGCCCCGGTTTGGAAATGTGTCCTCAGCATTAGAGGCACCCAATGCAAAATGCACTGGATGCCTTAAATTAGTAGTAAGTGAACACAACATGCTGTGGTCAGGGGGGGGGGTGTTCTTTGGTCCGTTCAGAACAGGACAGGACAAAATTGACCTGGAAACGAGAAGTATATGATTTATCATAGGAGTACGCATACAAGTCCCTGGCTGGCCTATAAACCTTGCATCGGTAGAATTCATCACTATAATCAGTGTTAAGCCACTGTCATCCTGACAAACCCTGAATGAACACGCTCCATGATCCAGTAAAGCTCCTGTCACACATTCGGGACCCTCCCCCGGCCTTGGCCTCGAACACAGGACGACCAGGTTCGACTGACCTTCCGAAACATGTCTCACCAGATTTAGACCACGCCTACATTTCTATACGAATCGAACGGAATTTGAGTTAAATTTAACCCCCTCCAACGCACCCGAATATAGGGCTCCAACCTATAGAATACAGTTTAACAAATTAAAACTTGCATAAGGACGCTTTTATGTTCAATGTCAAGGTTAGAAAACCAATTGTAAACCAAAGTTTTATCACTCAGGTGTCAGATCATGGAGCTAGAAAAGGTTGATCAGCTCGAAAAATTTCCCTTGCAGGGGTCCACACACACACACACACACACACACACACACACACACACACACACACACACACACACACACACACACACACACACACACACACA